CCTTCCTCCTCCTTTTCCTCCCCCTCTCCTTCCTCCTCCCTCTCCTCCCCTTCCTCCTCCCTCTCTCCTTCCTCCTCCCTCTCCTCCCCCTCTCCTTCTTCCTCCCCCTCTTTCCCTTCTCCCTCCCCTTCCTTCCCTTTTCCCTCCCCTTCCTTCCCTTTTCCCTCCCCTTCCTCCTCCCTTTCTTCCCTTTCCTCCCCCTCTTCCTCCTCCCTTTCCTCCCTCTCTTCCCCCTCTCTATCCTCCTCTCCCTCCCTTTCCTCTTCCTCCCCTTCCTCTCTCTCCTCCTCCTCCCCTTTCTCTTCTTCCCCCTCCTCTTCCTCCCCCTCTTCACGTTTCTCCTTCTCTTCCCCCTCCCTCTCCTCACCTTCCTCTCCTCCCTCTTCTTCCTCCTCCCCTTCCTCCTCCCCCTCTCCCTCCTCCTCGTCTGGAAAACCGCTCCATGCTAATGTGTCATCTTCTTGTGATTCTTGTTGTGTATTTTCTACATCTTTATAATTTGGATTATAGTCTTCTTCCATTTCTGTTTCTCCATCTTCTTCTGTTTCTTCTGCATCTGACATTCTTCTCTGTGGAGTTTCCTCTAGAGAAATTGTGACCATAATAATCAGCAGGCCCCTCTGTTTCCCATTTTGATTTCCTGGTGCACTAACCTATTGATAAAATGTGCAATAACTGCTCTGGCTCCTCCCCATGGGAATAAAAAGAATGTCACATTTGTGGAAAGGCCTAGCCCAAACCTTAAAAAAATTGATCCTGGGACCTCTTGTCTTTCTAGGAATAATCTCAGAGCCATCTAACTCATTTAAAATATATTCATATTCCCACAGGCAGCAAAATGCATAACCCAGGCATTAGCAACAATTCTAACACTAGGAATAAAAGCAGCAGCAGTGCAGCTTAGTATTAAAAGCATGGGCTTTGCAGTCAGCTTATCCTAGAACTGAATCCCATTTCACACTCATTCGCTCTGTGACCACGGGCAACTCATTTTTACTCTTCAGAATCTGCATTTGCTCACAGGCAAAATAAAAATGATAATCCTATCACTTCTGAGGTTTATCTTACAAGGGTACAAGTGAATCTTTCTAAGAGCAGAATGTGAATGTTTTAAAATAATAACTAAGAAAATGACACGAAGGCTATGTTAACCAGTTTGATGGAAGTGTTTCAGATTGTGTGTGAAAAACCCACACTGTACTCCAGAAGTGCATTAATGTACATAGTTACTGTTCAATAAAAAAAAATAAAAGATAATCCTAAATGCTAAGATCGTTGTGGAGATTAGATAACACCTGTAAATTGCTCAGCACAGTTCCAGCACATAGTGTCTGAAAATGGTGGCAATAGTCAGTATGGAGCTAGGAGCAACCCTAATTCATAGAGAAACAATTTAAAAGCCTTTTGACATATTCTCTCATTTATTCCTTACAACAAACAAGAGTACCAACTGGGAGAAATGAGAAGGATGGATACGTTATCTCTGAAAAGTTGGACTCAGAATAAAAATCGCCAAATTTTCAGTGACGTTAGTATAAGAGAACTCAACTCCTTGAAAATATATTCCCAAAGAGTACAGGGTAAATAAGATATTTCTATTTCTTCATTTCTCTTTCTCAGCCAATGTATCAGTTTGTCAACTCCACCTCTGGCAAAAATATAAATAAACAAAGAGTTTCAGGCTCTGAGAAGTGAAGTGCCTTATTCAAGATGACACAGTTGATAAGAAACAGATCTGACACTTAGCTCCTCCATCTGAAAAATTACTCCCATGGATTCAAGTCCAGGCTCTCACCACCAATTCAAAGTTTGCGGCTCGGCGCCTATAGCTCAACCGGCTAAGGCGCCAGCCACGTACACCTAAGGTGGCGGGTTCGAATCCCCAGCCTGGACCCGCCAAACAACAATGACGGCTGCAACCAAAAAATAGCCGGGCGTTGTGGCGGGCGCCTGTGGTCCCAGCTACTTGGGAGGCGGAGGCAGGAGACTCGCTTGAGCCCAGGAGTTGGAGGTTGCTGTGAGCTGTAATGCCACGGCACTCTACCCAGGGGGACAGCTTGAGGCTCTGTCTCAAAAAAAAAAAAAAAAAAAAAACAAAGTTTGCCAGGGCATCTTCATGGGGTCTGGGATGGGGACGGGTTCAATGCCCAGTCGAGCCTCAGGGGCTTTAGGGCAGAGCTGGCAGGTGTGTGGTTCTGTGGGGAGCAGAAAGCTGGTGGGGGCTCCTCCAGCTCAGGTCTTCCTGGGGCCGTCCCAGGCCCAGCCCGGCCTGAGCAGAGTGCGCGCCCCTCATGAGGCACCAACCCCCCCAGGCTAAGGACTCCTACCCGAGGGCCCATGACCTTTGCCCCAGACTTACAGAGAGCACCCACTCTCGTCCCCAAAGGCCAGAGTTGTCTCCGTCGCCTGGACTCCCTCGGCTACTTCAGAGGGCTAGAGCTGCAGCTACCTTCTCATCTACGAGCTCCCTAGTTACGGTTGCTACCCAAGCTTTATCCCCATGGCAACCGCACAGCCTCGGGGCGACAGTCCGTTAAGCTACAGGGTTGCACCTGGGTCACGTGCCCAGAAAGCCGCCGCGTGCGAGGCCTGCGCGCCCCCTGCCGGTTGAAGTGGCTCTCCTCGTCTGTCTTCCTCGCTTTTCTCCTCTCAAACCATCCCCCACCTTTCCATGGTACCATGCCCTCCAAAGGCTGCAGCGACCAAACCTGGTAATTTTGATTTTCTGAAGGGTTAGCAAAGTGAAGTTAAGAAGTCTGAACTCTTTGATAAAATTCTCTTGTCCAAAAGCAAACTAAATTTCCAGGTCTGGTAGATGCAACACACATCTGTCCCACCTGTCTCCTGGCCAGGGCACCACAGGTTGTTTAGAGAACTTTAGCTAGCTGGGATTAAATATTATATAGACTACATTAGTTTGCTCTTCTTATCACAAAGCGTTTCTGCAGAACCAGTTTGGTTAAATCTACAGCATCATTCCATGTTCAAAATGACTCTCAGAATCTCACAGAAGACCAGGACAGGTGGCCATCCTGAGGTTTCCACAGGGAGGCCTGCAGGAAACTAGGCAGAGGCACTGATGCAGAACACTCTTTGCTGCTACTGTTTTAGGAGAGTGAGAACTATGCTCCCTATCCCCACCACCATGCCTTGATGATGGTAAGGTGATTAATATGCATTCATCTCAAATTTTTAAAAAGGGATAAACTAGACAGTACAAGCTGTGTTTATAATAGTCAGGGACTTATAAAGGGAGACTGGAAAACACTTGGAATTAAAATATGCAATTTAAACAGTAACCGTTGGTAAACACAGCAAGTCTGTAGCTACAAGAAAAGAATACACAATTTGAGGGAAGATGTACCACAGGAACGCTTTCTTTTTTTTTTTTTTTTTTTCTTTGAGACAGAGCCCCAAGCTGTCCCCCTGGGTAGAGCGCCATGGCATCACAGCTCACAGCAACCTCCAACTCCTGGGCTCAAGCGAGTCTCCTGCCTCTGCCTCCCAAGTAGCTGGGACCACAGGCGCAAGCCACAACGCCCGGCTATTTTTTTTTTGGTTGCAGCCATCATTGTTGTTTGGCAGGTCCGGGCTGGGGATTCGAACCCGCCACCTTAGGTGTACGTGGCTGGCGCCTTAGCCGGTTGAGCCACAGGCGCCGAGCCAGGAACGCTTTCAAGTTGAAATGCTTTTAAGAACTCATAGCTGGGCTCGGCGCCTATAGCTCAACCGGCTAAGGCGCCAGCCACGTACACCTAAGGTGGCGGGTTCGAATCCCCAGCCTGGACCCGCCAAACAACAATGACGGCTGCAACCAAAAAATAGCCAGGCGTTGTGGCGGGCGCCTGTGGTCCCAGCTACTTGGGAGGTGGAGGCAGGAGACTCACTTGAGCCCAGGAGTTGGAGGTTGCTGTGAGCTGTAATGCCATGACACTCTACCCAGGGGGACAGCTTGAAGCTCTGTCTCAAAAAAAAAAAAAAAAAAAAAAAAAAAGAACTCATAGCTGGAAGCATACACCAATACTGACTCCCAACAGGGCAAGCTGGGGTCTGTACCTAACCCAAGCAAATCCAATCCTAAGAAACACAGGTTTGCTCAGCAGAATGTGCCAGACCTCCTCCAAAACAGCAAGTGGTGTACAAAAACTAGAGAAATAAACATTGTGATACCATGAAGAGACAGAAAGATGCAGACACAGCATTAGTAGAAATCAGAGACCCATTTCAACAACTTAAAAGACAGAAGAAATAAAAGAAGGAACAAGCATTTTCAAGAGGTCTGATCTGCAAACTGTAGTTCCCATTAGCAATGTCAGGCACATCTTAGCAGTTTACAAAATAGTGCTGATCTCAGTGCATGGCCATGAGGTTCAATTACAAAAAGTCAAATTAGAAGCTAATCTGCAGTGCTTTATATTCCACAAGTGAAAGGAGCTTGCTGCCCTCTGGTAGGTTACTGAAAAGAGACTAGCAGGGCTAGCTGGAGAGCCTCCTGGCTTTCCTCATTCTCCAAAGGGAGCTGCTATAGCCCTAGAGGCCTAACTGCTAAGGATACATGGAACTATTCTGTGGCCACACCAGCAGTGCTCCAGTACAAAGAAAAATGTTGGTCAAATCTTGACTTTGGCACAATGGCTTGTTTGTTTTGCCCAACTTTCCCTGAGGATGTTCTGTCCGAGCTTTGGCTTGAGAGAGTCATAAGAAATTCAGGTGGGGTGATAACCTGGTCATATCAGCACTGTAAAACTGTTTATTTGAAAATAAAATAAAATAAAACAAAATCCTAAAAGGTCATATCAGCACCTGCCAGAATAACTCCCACCCACTTGCCCACAAGCCAGAGAATTCCCATTCAGGGCATTTGCAAAAGATGCTAAGCACAAATCAAGTGTTTTAACAATGCCTTAATCCAGAGAGATTACATGAGAAGGCCATAGCGTTTCCACCACCTAGAAGTTCAGGCTTCCAGCTTCTTCCAGATCCATCCTTATGCTTCAGGGAGAGAAGAGAGTGAGGAAATCTCCACTACACCCAAGTCCAGGGCAAGAGAAGATGCTTTCCTGTTAATGTTTCCAAAGGACAGTCATCTCTGCAGAGGAATAATGTTGCAACTGGAAGAAAAGAAGAAAAGGAAGGTCAGAAGTTAAGTCTTAGCTTTTCGTCTACATTCTTTCATTTTTTTCTTTTTCTTCAGGGGAAATCGCAGGGTCAGCACATCCAGAGTGTAATGGATAAGCTTCACCCTGGGAAAACCACCTTCATGATTATGGTATCTCCCCTGCCAGGTAAGTATATTCTTTCGTTCTTTTAAAGCAAATGCCCAGTTAATGAAAGAACCAGAGAGACTCTTAGGAGAGACACCAGCTCCCTCTGCCTCTAGACCTGCAGTCTCATTCCTACCACTCGTATTTACCACTAGTTTCTACACACTCTGGGGATGCCCCAATGTCCCCCCAGATTTCCCTTCCACCTTCACGTCTAACACACACTCAGTTGTTGCTTCAGTGTGAATGAACAGAAACAGGTACTTTACCCCAACAATCCTTTTCCTGACCAGCGTGTTGGAACAAGTCTGAGCTGGTGTTTCTCTCCCCTACGCATCACTACCACGTTCAGGCCCTTCTGTAAAGAAAATAAGCACATTTCAAGAGTGGACAGGGACGTGGCACTCTTGGGGCAGCCAGTGATGCTGGGAATCAGCACCATTTTCCTGGGAAAACACAGGTTCTCTCCCCCCCAAAATCTTTAAAAGGTGCATGTAAGATATATTTTATTAGTATAAAAGAATAAGATAAAATACAAATGAAGTGGTCATTCTAAGACTGTTTTTAAATTCAAAAATTGAAAACACCCAACATGTCCATCAATAAAGTAGTATTCAAATCTAGTACAGTGGTTTAAGAGTTTTAGTAAAACCAAAACAAAACAAAAACAGCAAAGTATGAACCCATTTTCTTTTCTTTCTTTTTTTTTTTTTTTATTAAATCTTATCTGTGTACATTAATGCTATCATGGGGTACAGAGTGCTGTTGCTATATATAATTTGAAATATTTTCATCCAACTGGTTAACATAGCCTTTATGTCATTTTCTTAGTTATTGTGCTAAGACATTTATATTCTACATTTAGAGAGATTTACATGTACCCTTATAGGATAAACCATAGGTGTAATCCTACCAATCGCCCTCCTTCCATCCATTCTCCCCCCTTCCCTCCCTCTCCCCTTTCCACATATTCTTGGGCTAAAATTGGGTTATAGTTTTCCTATGAAAGCTATAAATTAGTTTCATAGTAGGGCTGAGTACATTGGATACTTTTTCTTCCATTCTTGAGATACTTTGCTAAGAAGAATGATTTTATTTTCTAAAAGGACATGTGTGTTGCTTTGTGCAAAGTTTTCTGGAAGAATATACCCCCAAAACCTGTTAAGACTAGTTACTCTGAGAGAGAAATGTCAGTAGTTTAGAGTAAGAGAAAGATGTTTCTGTTTGTGGGGGGGAGACTATATGTTTTTTATTATTAAGGAATCTACTTTTGTGACTGTCATGAAGCCCAGGCTGAGTCAACACTGACAAGTTCTGGAGGTAACTACATCCACTCTGAATCTTCTCATTACAATCCATGTCTTCTTTTTTAACCTCAGCTGGAAACTCAGACTCATAAGGCCTCAATCTCTACCCTTCTATTCCTGGTAAATGGCAAAGCCAACTATGTAGGAGGGTTTTTTCAGAAGAGAAAATGACTTTGTCTTCCCAGAAGACAAACCCTCCACTTTGCTTTAGGAGGCAGATAGCAACCCTGAACCACAGACAGACTATGGCCTGTGCAGCCTTCAATTACTTTCATATATTTCTGTATCATTAATTTTGTTATCCATGTGTATGTATTACTTTCTTTCTTTCTTTCTTTTTTTTTTTTAGAGACAGAGTCTCACATTGTCACCCTCGGTAGAGTGCTATGGCATCATAGCTCACAGCAACCTCCAACTCCTGGGCTTAGGTGATTCTCTTGCTTTAGCCTCCTGAGTAGCTGGGACCACAGGCACTCGCCACAACACCTGGCTATTTTTTGTTGCAGTTTGGCTGGGGCAGGGCTCGAACCCACCACCTTTGGTATATGGGGCCGGCGCCCTACTCACTGAGCCACAGGTGCCGCCCAATGTATTACTTTCTTAATTAAAAAAAAATTAAAGTACACGAGGGGGAACATACCAAAAAAAATTACAAATCAAAACAAGATGCCATCAAAATCTAAAACTTTATGCATCAAAGGACACTACTGATAGGGTAAAAAGACAATCCACAGAATGGGAGAAAACATTTGCAAATCACAAACAAGTCAACAACAGAAAACCATACAAAATGAGCAAAGGACTCGAATAGACATTTCTCCAAAGAAGATATACAAATGTTGATCAAAGTTCCTAGTGCCTGCCTCTGTTGAGTTATGCAGGACCAAGCAGTGCAGCCCTGTAGGGGTTCCTAGAACTGTTGGTTAAACAGTAGACTTCATTTGGGAACCAAAAACTTGACTAAGTAATTTCTCTGGACTTTGAGCCTGTATTTCTCCCAAAAAGTGTGGATTTTTTGTTCATTTCAAATTACCAAGAAATGAGCAAGATGATTCAATAGAAACATTAATGATGTGGTTGGTATGCTACAAATTGGAAGCCAGCAGCTGATTTGGAATTTTAACTTTTATTTTATTTTTAAGAGACTGAAATGGTCAAAATGCACACGAATAAAGTTCTCTTCCACCTGATTAGCACTATACTGCTATGCACTACACCATACTTCTTTCTTTAAATTTTAAGGTATGGTTTGGGCAGGGAAGAACCCTATGATAAAGTAAATAAAATGGTAGCCAGGTGTGGTTGCTCACGCCTGTAATTCCAGTGCTTTGGGAGACCGAGGCATGAGGTCACTTGAGCCCAAGAGTTTGAGGCTGCAGTGAGCTATGATGACACCACTGCACTCCAACCCATGTGACAGAGCAAGACCCTATCTCAAAAAAAAAAGATACAAAGTAAATTTTAAAAAAGAACTTTTCAAATAGTCAAAATTACCATAAAACAAAGTTAAAAGGCAAGGAACTAACCAGTAGAAAATATGCCACAAGTATAACAAAGATGTAATATCTAGAAAATAGAAAAGAATCCCTACAAATCAATTTTTTAAACCCAACAGAAAAAAATGGGAAAAAACATAAACGAGAAATTCAAAGAAGTAAAAGTATAAACAAAAAAAAAAAGATAACCTTGGTAACTAGGAAAAAACAAGTTACAAGACATCATTTAAGCAGAAATTTTAAAAGATCAACACTACAAAGTACTATTGATGACACAATTTACTCACAGACTTTATCCAGTTATAAATCAGTAAGATCTTCTCAAAGTACCTATTAAAATTTTATACACGCAGCTCGGCGCCTGTGGCTCAGATGGCTAAGGCGCCAGCCACATACACCTAAGATGGCGGGTTCGAATTCAGCCCGGGCCCGCCAAGCAACAATGATGGCTGCAACCAAAAAAAAAATAGCCAGGTGTTGTGGTGGGTGCCTGTGGTCCCAGCTACTTGGGAGGCAGAGGCAGGAGACTCGCTTGAGCCCAGGCGTTGGAGGTTGCTGTGAGCTGCGATGCCATAGCACTCTACCCAGGGGGACAGCTTGAGGCTCTGTCTCAAAAAAAAAAAAAAATTTTATACATGCATAGCTCAGAGCCTGTAATTCTACTTTCTGGTATCTACCTAGAGAAGCACCCACTTGTACGCACAGTCACACCAAGTATACACAACTGTTCATCTTGACATAAAACTGGAAGCACCAAAATGTCTACTCGTAAGGCAGTGGACAAACTGCACTCTATTTATTCAACAGAGAACTAAACGGCAATAAAAAAGAACGAGTATGTACCAAAATGAAAAGATCTCCAAGAAATGCTGTTAAATGAAAACCAGAATTAGGAAGCAAGAAGGGGAATTTTTTTTTTGAGACAGTCTCGCTATGTTGCCCTTGGTAGAGTGCCATGCCATCACAGTGCACAGCAACCTCAGACTCTTGGGCTTCAGCAATTCTCTTGCCTCAGCCTCCCAAGTAGCTGGGACTACAGGTGCCCACCATAATAGCCAGCTATTTTTTTGTTGCAGTTGTCACTGTTGTTTAGTAGGCCCAGGCCAGGTTCGAACCTACCTGCCCCGGTGTATGTAGCAGGTGCCCTAACCACTGAGTTACAGGCACTAAGCCAGAAGGGGAATTTTAGTTAGGGTGGCTAGGAAAGGCCCTGCTGAGGTATCACTGGTGTAAAAAAGACAGGGGTGGCTTGGCGCTTGTAGCTCGAGTGGCTAAGGAGCCAGCCACATACACCAGAGCTGGGGTGTTTGAATCCACCCCAGGCCTACCAAACAACAATGACAACTACAACCAAAAAATAGCCAGGCATTGTGGCGGGTGCCTGTCATTCCAGCTACTGGGGAGGCTGAAGCAAAAGAATTGCTTAAGCCCAGGAGTTGGAGGCTGCTATGAGCTGTGATGCCATGGCACTAACCAGGGCAACAGCTTGAGGCTCTGTCTCACAATAAAAAAAAAGAAGATAGGGGTAAGGAAGAAAGCATTCCAGGTAGAAGGAACAGTAAGTGCAGAGACACTGAACTGAGACTGTCCTGAGTAACAGAACTAAGAAGGCAGCAAGGACTCAGCAACGTTTCCTGGCCCCAAGCAAGTCCAGGGACATTGACCACATGCCAAATGCTATGATCTGAATATTTGTGTCCTGCTCAAATTCATATGTTGAACTCCTAACCCCTAAGGTGATGGTATTAGGAGGTGGGGCCTTTGGGAGGTACCTCAGATGCAAGGGAGAACCTATGATGGAACGAGGTCCTTGCATAAGAGGCCCCTCTCCCCTTCTGCCATAGGCTGTGATGACACAGACAGAAGCTGCCACCTATGGACTAGAAAGCAGTGACACCAAATCTGCCAGCACACCGACTGTGGACTTCCCAGCCTCCAGAACTGTGAGAAATGAATTTCTGTTGTTTGTAACCCACCTGGTCTATCACATTATGTTACAGCAGCCTGAACAGACTAAGGCACCACATAGCCCCAACTCACCCCCTCACTGTGCTGCACCACAGTGCTGATGTTACTCAGTGAATGGAAGTTTTGGACGTTGACAGAGCCAAATTCCGTAATCTCATCATCCACTTGTAGACCCTAAAAAGAGAAGAGATGATGTAGAATCAGGCTAGAGATTTAATGTGCTTCTGGTGTTTACCCTTCAGTACCCGGTTTAATGTCAAGGTCAAGAGCTTATTTTCTATAGAGCAAGCTCAAAGCAGTGAGGTCAGGGATTCAGACACAGGAAGGGGCAGTGGATAACTGGGCCTGAGGGTTTCTTCTAGGGCAGATCTAGTAAAAATGGCCAGGTCTACTCAACATGTGACAGCTAATGGTTGTGGAAGCCTTAAGGTGTATGAATAAGCCAAATGCTGCTCTCTGAAGCCCTGACCCTAGGTTCAAGGGTAAGAAGAGGCAGGCTAGTGTGGACCATTTAATTCAACAGACAAGACAAACATTTGTCCAAGACGCCCCCAAACAAGCAGCCATGGGTACAAGGCTGACCCAAACTAGAGGGACCCTTTCATTCTAGGTCAGTGGTTCTCAACCTTCCTAATGCCATGGCCCTTTCATATAGTTTCTCTGAGTGTTGACCCACATGTTGAGAACTGCTATTCTAGATCCTAAGGAAGACACAGACCACTACTCATTCATCCCTTTAACAAATGTTTGTCATGGGCTGACTAGCCTGGTGCTATGTGTTGTGGATATAGTGAATAAAACAGTTTATGTGTAACTTACAGTCCTGTGATCATTAAACATTGACAGGACCTGGATTAAGGACCCAATTTCCTGTTAGGAACTATGTATCCTGGCACAAGTTACTTCAGATCTTTGAGACTTTTCCTCATGGGTGAAATGAGGTAAAGATTAGTACCTACCCCAGAGGTGGCTATTTAAATTTAAATACGTGTCCATGAAAAAACTTGCACAAAATGTTCATGGCAGCAATATTCATAACAGTCAAAACGTGGAAACAATCCAAATGTCCGTTAACTGACAAACGAATAAAGAAAATACAGTACATCCATGTTGTGGAGTATGTTTTGGCCACAAAAAGGGAAGAAGTTCTAAAACATGCTACAATATGAGCCTTGAAAACATGATACTAAGTGAAAGAAGCCAAACACAAAAAGCCACATATTGGGTGACTCCATATACAGGAAGGGTCCTGAACAGGCAAATCCATACAGATACAAAGTAGACTAGTGGGTGCCAGGGGCTGGGGAGAAATGGCCAATTATTATGGGGTTTCCTTTTAGGACAATGAAATTGTTCTAAAATTGATTGTGGTGACAAGATGCACAGCTCTGTGAATATGCTAAAAGACACCAAATTGTATAGACACTGCAAGTGGGTAAATTTTACGGTATGTGAATTTTTTTATTTTTATTTTTTTGAGACAGTCTCACTTTGTCACCCTGGGTAGAGTGCCATGGCATCACAGCTCACAACAACCTCAAACTCTTGGGCAGTGATTCTCCTGCCTCAGCCTCCCACATAGCTGGAATACAGGCGCCCACCACAATGCCTGACTATTTTTTGTTGCAGTGGTCATTGTTGTTTAGCTGGCCTGGGCTGGTTTCGAACCCACCAGCCTTAGTGTATATGGCTTGCACCCTACTCACAGAGCCATTGGTGCCGCCTGGTATATGAATTTTATCTTAGTAAAGCTGTTAATTTTTTGTTAATTTTTTAAAAACATACCAGGTAAGATGCATAACTCATTTTGCAGAATGCCTGGTGCAAATGGCAACTATTATATCATTGACTTTATTATTCAGTGCCTATCTAAAATGAGCCCCAAGAAGAGATTCTCTTTCCCTCACCTGGGACACCTACCATCTTCTGACACTGAGAACAGTTCTCTACCCCCCAGGGTAGTAAGCAGCCATGGCTGACCCCCTCTCCAAAACCCTGGCCCCCTAGCACAAGGCTGGGTATATGGCAGCCTTTGGTCAGTAATTGAACTTGAGCTGCAGCAGAGAGCAAGTCTATCTTCCCACACACAGACTCCCCTGCCAAGGGCCTTGGATTACCGCAGTGCTGGCTGGAGAGCCAGGGCTGATGCTGTTCACTTTGGCGAAGGCCTGTGAAGGTCTGTGGCTCATACTGTGCCCTGGTTTGTGGCTCATGGCCTCTTCCTCTGCCTCGGCCATGTCCCGGGCCTGCTTCTCCTTGTCGTGAGCATGTAGCTGGTGCAAGGCCTCCTCCACCTGCTTCATCACTTCCTTGTGGTCATTCTGCAAGCCTGGGACGAAAACCACCATATCAGAGGCCAAGGGATATAGCCTAGGACATAAGACTCCTGTATTCATTTGCTAAATATTTAATGAGCACTTATGACATGCCAGACATAGGGCTAGTGGCCAAAGACAAACTCGGGACCAAGACAGAGGACCTACCTTCATGAAGCTTAGTCCAGGAAGGAGAATAGCTATGAAACAAATAATTACAATAATATCTGATGGCTGTGGTTGTTAGGCCTAGCCAGCAGGGAAGCCTAACCTTGCTAGTCTAGATCAGGGAATCTTCTCAAAGGCAGTGCCATCTCAACTGAGACCTGAATGGTGAAGAGAGGAAAGGTACTATTCAGCTAAACCCATGGCCCATGAACTCAAATGGATACCAGGGGCCAGCATGCTGGTCATGCAAATGAATGATGTGGGTTAGGTATAATGATAAATAAGCCTAGTATTACATGGCTGGGGACATTCAGTCTGGCCTAAGTAACAGGGAGTCGGCCAAAGGAGAACCTTGCTACCAGGCTCTTGCCAACTGCTGAAGTTTGGAAGGCAGAGCTAATGTCATGAAATCTTTGATTTTTCTAGAAAAGCTTAAAATTGGGAGCCTTTGGGTAAAATCTCCTCATTTTTCACTACTGACAGCTAATTCAAAATGTTGTGAGTCACTATCCATGCAGACCAAACAAATCATGTATGCAGACCAGGCTGGCTATTCTGATAACGTTTTTAAAACCTAAACAACTTCCTTACTGCTCTGGATTCTCCATCTTTGTTCAAGCCAGATCACTCACATGATCCCCTCTGAGGACTTTTAAAGAAAGCCTGAGTGGACTAGCACTGTCAGCCAATCCATGGGTCACAGACTTCCCAACTTTCTAGGGCCTTTGACTGTAGCCCACCTGGGCTACCTGGCCTGGCTCCTCTGCCTGTCACTTTGGAGCAAAGATGAGGCACAGGACTCAAGGACTCAACCCACAGGAGCAGATATTAAGACTCCAGATTCGAATAAGAGGAGACACCTATCTAGGAACGAAGACTTAAAATGTTGCCAACATATAGTATATGATTGCTTTCTGACTAGAAAAGCACCCTGCAGATGACAGGGTCCATAAGGATCCCTAGATTTTTTGGCAACGCCTGGTACATAGTAAGTGGCATAGCTGTTGGGTAATGGCATCATTGATTTTATTTAGAATATATTACAGTTGGGTTTTTTTGCTGTGTTTTTGAGACAGAATCTCACTCTGTTCCCCAGGTTAAAGTGCCATGGCATCCTGCACTCAAGCCATTCTCCTGCCTCCACCTTCTGAGTAGCTGGGACTACAGGTTCCCATCCCTACACCTGACCAGTTTTCCTATTTTTTAATAGAAATCAGGTCTCACTCTTGCTCAGGTTGGTCTCAAACTTCTGAGCTCAAGCAATTCACCTGCCTCAGCCCCCCTCAAAGTGCGAAGGTTCAAGGCATGAGCCACTCTACCCAGCCTTACAATACGTTCCAATTCTAATCAAAATTCCAAAGTTTTTTTTCTGAGATGAAATGTTTTGGCGCTATATTTCAAAACCAAATCTGTAATTGTGACAAACGTACCACACTAACGTAAGCTGTTAATAATAGAGGAAACTGGTACAGAGTATAAAGGACCTTTCTGTATTACTTTCCTAATTTTTATGTAAATCTATAACTGTTCTAAAAAATAAAGTCCAGGCTCGGTGCCTATAGCTCAACCGGCTAAGGCGCCAGCCACGTACACCTAAGGTGGCGGGTTCGAATCCCCAGCCAGGACCCGCCAAACAACAATGACGGCTGCAACCAAAAAATAGCCGGGCCTTGTGGCGGGCGCCTGTGGTCCCAGCTACTTGGGAGGCGGAGGC